AACCCCCCCCCCCCCCCCCCCCCCCCCCCCGCGCACTATCACTGTGACGTTGTATATGATTTTTTAGGGAAAAAATATTGTGCCATTTCTCAGGCTTTGATGTATCCTGACCTGTAACTTTAAAGTCCAAATTTAGAGTGATTTTGTAATTCTTGCAGCAACTTACAGCAAAAACGCATAATTGCTGTGGGCTTCTAATCCGCGCCACTGCTTATTTTTTAATAGTTCAAATTTTAGAACGTTGGAAACGTTCCAGAATCTGATGCTGTATTGTTCACTCAAAGCACGTTGTTGGTCACTTGCTTTTGAGTACCTGCGCTGGTTTCATTCCCTTTCCGTGGTTTGTTTTCTACTCTTTTTTGTTGCTTTTTTTTTCAGTTCCAGTCGGAACTCAACCGAGGAACTTGGAAAGCTAGAATCTGCTAGTAAATAATTAAATGCCATTTTTGCTAAGTTGCTCTGTACTTGTTTGTTGAGGATTAGTCATTTTGGAGGTTTCTCACATCAAGAACAATGAGGTGCACTGATGTTTTGTGCTTCAGAATAATCATCCGTTATTGCTGCCGACGAATAGAGACTTACTGTTTACGCGCATTTTCAACGCCATGAATTTTGTATTTTGCCATTCGCAGAATGTCAGTTATCATCGCTATGTGATGAGGGCATTGTCACGTTCGCGGGGCAACGTGGCACTTCAGATGATTTCGGGCAATAACTCCCTCATTACCGGTGCATACCGCCATGCGCTTGGTAAGTGCATTTTTTAAAATATTATCGCAAACGTCGTTGGACCCCTCAGATGTATTGACCGATGTAGGAAATTTTTAAGTCTTTCACTTACAGGTAATAGTGTAATTGCAGGCGAATATCTTCGTGTCTGGAAGCAAGTTCCTGAGAATCCGCTTGTTTGCATGCTTATTGGACTCACATTCGTTCACATATCGTGCAAAAAGGACATCTGCAGCCGGCATATGCTAGCTTTGAGAGTAAGTTTTCTGGGGCAACGTTCATTTGAAAAAAACGCAATTTGTGTCTAGTATTTTTTTACATCTCAGATATTTGTGTATTGCCGCCAACGGATAAACGAATTTCGTTAAGCCTGTGCCGGTGTACCTATGTATGGGTGTGTGGATCTGGCAGTTGGAGTTTGGAACTGAACAAACCAGGAAACTGGGAATCAAATACATTATTTCTCTGCCGACCACGGACTTCGTATCAGCTTTTTATACTGCCTCGTATTCCGCGTAATATGACCAAAATTCATGGGCTCTCCTCTCCTGGTGTCTTGTGTTGTTAATCTCATTAAGTTTTCTTTTTAAATTTTTGAAAATTCAGGGCCTTGCATTTATGAATCGGTACCAGCGATTGCGTGGCGACAACCAGGAAACTTATTACAATGCTGGACGAATGTTCCACCAGATGAATATATTACCTCTGGCTATTCATTTTTATGAAATGTGTTTAGAGGTGAGCGCAAGTTTTTGGAATTATTTTGCGGGAAATAACTAGTTCAGTGTGTGGATAGCCACGACTTCGCACTGCCATCCCTATACGCCCAAATTCAGGGGAACAAGAGAAGGCGAATTACAAACATATTTGCTTCGTTTTAGCCTTTCTGTCCGCAGTTTTCACACTTGGGCCTGAATTCCTTGTTTTTGGTGCAATTTGGCTTAATTTTTCGTAATTCTAAGCAGGGCAATTCAAAAACTTGGTGAAAAAATACCTCTTGTAAGTGAAGCATATCTGATTTTAGTACCCTTGGTCTCCTGTTCCACACTGATAATCACGACCTCTCCTGCTACGTTCTGTTCTGGATATGCCAGTGTTGAAATTAATGATTTCGATAATTTTTAAAAGTCGCAACAGAATTCTTTATCGTTTTATTTTACAGGCAGAAATTCCGAAGATTCTGGTTATGGATGAGGAGACGGGCGATGAGCACGTCGTCGTGGCAGAACAGTAATTATTTCAGTTTCATTTCGTATTTTTGCTTGTTTGGAATTAGGCTTAGTTACTTTGACCCAAAATGTGGCTTCTGTAGTAACTGCTAGTAATGGCAGGTTGGGGTGGTGGGATGGATATTTTTCTGATGTCCAATGTACCGTTTTTGCGCTTCTACGAGCTACCTAATCTGATGGTAGTCGAAATGGTGACAGTGATAATGTAGCTGTTTTTTGATGAATTGGCACACATCCAACTATCCTCACTGTTCTCGAAAAATTGTGTACTTCAGTATCTGGCAGCATTCGGGTTCCTGAATAATCTTTCGGAACATGAAGTCTTGTATTGCTGATCTAATTGACGATTGAGCGATGCAGTCATTACTTTTGCAACCTTGTGTCTTAGTTCGAAATTTTCCC